TACTGAAAGGACCGAGAATGTTGGGTCACCTGGCAAGGGCCATGAGGGGCCCGGCTCTTCTCTGGAACCAGTAAGTGTGGCCCAAGACAAGGTCACACAACATCGTACAAATCACTTTATTTGGTAAACCAGATGAATCAAATTGTTTATTCCAATTAATTGCACTGGTTTCACAAATGTCCATGTAACAGGTGTCTCGGGTTTTTCCAGTCTAGGACAAATACAGTCACGTTTATGCCCTAATAACGTCTTCAAGCCACCAATGGCTTTAGTAACAGGAAGTTTGTCAGGGGGGCCCCAAGTCACTAGCTGCTGCTTGCTTGAGGGGTAGACCCTCGGCTGCATCCTCACCTGGAGGTGGCTTTCTGCCCCCTTGTGTGCATGCTGGGCACCACTGCCAATTGTGGGCCAGGCTCAGGGACGTTTCAGCTACTGGAGTCAAGAGTGTGGACCCTCCACAGAACATCCCCCCGGGACTGCTGCGCCTGGCCAGCACCTTGTTCCCACCGACCCTGATGAGTACTCTGTGATTCACAGGGCAGAATGGTGAGAGAGAGGAGGGCCCCTCCTCCCCTCAGGGTATTGGGATCGGTCAAAAGGTCCCCAAACCTCACCCACAGGCCCATGGTTGCCATTTCAACCAAGACTGTCACACCCCTCCAAGGACCTATGCCAATAGCTTGTGGATCTCTCTAGAAGACTGAGCTGGTGGATCTATCTAGAAGAAGACCCAGCTGGTGGATCTCTCTAGAAGAAGACCCAGCTGGTGGATCTATCTAGAAGACCCAGCTGGTGGATCTATCTAGAAGACCCAGCTGGTGGATCTCTCTAAAAGAAGACTGAGTTGGTGGATCTCTCTAGAAGAAGACTGAGTTGGTGGATCGATCTAGAAGAAGACCCAGCTGGTGGATCTACCTAGAAGACCCAGCTCATGGATCTCTCTAGACTGCCCACCCTTTATGGTCCTCCTCTCAGGAATCTAGAGCCCTCTCTGTCAACTGGCTAAGGCAGAGTCAAGCTGCCCACAGACATGACTTTATGTTTGAACATTGCTGGGATGGTGAGTGGTCTGGTTGCCGCTGTACATCGTAGACACAGCGTGACGTGAAGAGAGCTGCTCACCTCCACCAGGTCGAGCTCCAAGCTCCAAATGCAAAGAGAGAAACTGGAGCAGGGGCAGTCCCAAACTCCACCCACCCATGGGCTCTGAGTCCCATCCCCAAATCCAGCCCCAAACGCCCTGATTTCTATGACAGTCTGGGTCTCTAGAAGTAGCACAGGTGGCATCTCTGTCTCCCTCAGCAGTGGGATGGACAGCTGAAGGCAGGCAGGAGAGGAGTGTCCAGGGTGCGGGGTAGCAGGGCAGAGTCTCTTGTCCTGGCTGCAGTCACCCCCTCCACAGCACGTCCACTCCTTCACTGACCCATTCTTCCTCACCCTTCACTCCAGCCACCTACAAGGCTTCCAGAGTGCACCCGAACAGGGAGTTGGGGGCCGGGGGCAGCAGAAGAGGGGGCTCCTGCCGAATAACTCTCAGTATAGTTGGGGAAATGAGGTTCTCAGGCAGGAGGCAACTCTGCCCTCAGCTCTTCCTGTCCGTCCCCCATCCCCATTCTCACACCCCTCCCAGAGTCAGCCCCAAGTCTTCAAGCCTGGGGATGGCTCAGCCCCCTCCCCAACAGGTTCTGGGTTTTATCTAAATGCCCCCGCCCCCCAGCCTTTCTCCACCACTTGGCATCAAAGCCTCCTACCCGACAGGTAGAACAAGGCTGCTTTTCTTCCTGAAGACCTTCACTTTGTCTACGTAAAGGCCCAGCTGTTATCTCTTCCCACTCACTCTGTCTAGCAAAAGTACCCCCACAATTTATCCTTATAATCATTCGACTCGTTGGAACAGCTGAGTCATCTGAAGGCCTTGGGCCGTGCCTGTGCCTCCTTCTTTAGATCGTTCAGAGCCCAATCCAAGCAGGGATTCAATTGTTTATAGTTTCCAACTAAGTCCTGCCAAGAACCCTGTTGCTATCTTTCTCAGGGCCTTTGTGTCTGAGGGACAAGATGGCCCCCCAGTTCCTGGCTGACTCATTTCTCCCTCCCAAGCACTGTTTGAGGGACAGCTCCATGGGTAGTGCAACCTGGGCCAGCTCCACAGCCAGGACTCAGATGAGCAAGGAAAACACACCTTTATTCTCCTGTGACTGAACTGAACGAAACTTGGCTCTTTCTAGTTGTTTTCACAGAAACTAAGTCCAATTAACACCTTGGTTTGTTCAAGATAGAAAGCTGGTCACATTCAGTATTTACCCTCACCCAGGGTATTCTTTCACAATCCTTCCTCCCCCCAGGCCAATTGCTAAAGCGCCAAGCAGGAAACCCCCTGACGGCAGTGGGGTGGGAGGGCGTGGTCTCCATCCTAGTCTGGCTTCCTTCCCCAAGGGTATCCTGTCTCCTCTCAGGTGTTGCCAACCTCTTTCCACTCTGTCCCCATTGCTTCCACAAAGTATCCACAGTTTCACCATGAACTAGTCCACACCACCCTCTCAGTCCTTCCACGTCTTTCTTGTGGGCATTGGAAGGTTTAGCTGACCAGCCATGCCTTTCTAAGGCCCATGGGAAACTCGGGGCTGTCGTGTGCACTCGCTCTGCCTCAAAAATCCCCACTTGCTGTCATCTCTGTGAGGATGCTGGTCAACGGAGTTCCAGAAGGGACAGGAAAGTGCAAATCTTCTCCACTCAGGGGTCCCCAAACTAAAAAGGGGGCTTGATCCTTCCCCCTCCATCTCTGCCCAGGACACCCTCCACCATAACTGACTCTTGATTCCCTCTCCTAACTCCTCTTTCTCTCTCTCTTTTTTCCTCTATAGAATTTTATAGTCTAATAGGAAGACAGGGTAGAATTGAAAAACAGTCTTGGTCAGATGGTCTTCTCAGTCTATTCTTCAACCCTTCTGCCTCATAGCTTTTGGACTCAGAAATCAAGAATTCATCTGGTTCTCGGGTTCTTCAAAAATCCCCCAAACACTGGGTGATTCAAGTAAGTCAAGCTGTCTGTCTTAGTCATCTAGTGCTGCTATAACAGAAATACCACAAGTGGACGGTTTTAACAAAGAGAAGTTTATTTCCTCACAGTAAAAGTAGGTTAAAAGTCCAAATTCAGGGCGTCAGCTCCAGGGGAAGTCTTTTTCTCTCTGTTGGCCTTCTTCTCTTCAGTGTTCCCCCGAACTAGGAGCTTCCCTGCGTAGGGACCCCAGTCCAAAGGGCGCGCTCTGCTCCCCGCACTACTTTCTCGATGGTATGAGGTCCCCCTGTCTCACTGCTCACTTCTGTCTTTTATATCTCAAGAGATTGCCTGAGGACACAATCCAGTCTTATAGATCAGGTCCTGCCTTACTAACACAACTGCCACCCATCCTCCCTCATTAACATCATAGAGACAGGTTTACAACATACAGGAAAATCACACAGTACCAGGAATCATGGCCTAGCCAAATTGAAACACACATTTTTTGGGGGGACACAATTCAATGCATGACATTCCACCCTTTGACCCCCCCAAAATCATATCCTTGCAACATGGAAGACATATTCACCCAATCATATCATAGCAAAAGTCTTAACTCCAAGTCCAAAACCCAAAAATTCCTCTTCATCTGTGAAATCTCGAATACAAGTTATTTGCTGCCAAAGGTACAATGGCAGAACAGGCACAAGCTAGACATTTCCATTACAAATGGGAGAAACTACAGGAAAAGAAGTGATAACAGCACCAAGCAAGTCAGCACAACACATTACATTAGCCCTCAAGGCTTTGAAAGTAATCTTCTGTTCTCTGAGACAATTTACACAATGGCCCTGCCCTCCAGACTCTAGGTATTGGCCACAGTCTCTGGATTTTGAGTGGAGGCCCCTCGGCCCTGGGCTTCAGCTCCGCCTTCCAGGCCCACTGGGACAGCAACTCTGCTCCCTTGGCTTTAGACGCACCATTCTCCTCCATCAGAGTGACAGCTCCACCCTTGGAAACACCAGAGGCTATAGCTCCACCCTTTGAAACCCCTGAGGTCATGGCCATACCTTTTGAGACTCAGGCAGCTCCGCTTTTTGTGTTCCTTGTCTCTTCAGCTTCTGCATCTGTTTCCTGTGGCCTCTTGGCCCTTGGGCCTCACGCCTGCATCTGCCCTGCTGGGGCAAGTGTTCCAAGGCTCTGTAGCTCCACTGGTAAGTGCCTGGAGGCACCCGACTCCTCCAGAAAGCCTCTTGCACACAGGCACTCAGCTCTCTCCTCCGTGGGTCGGCTCCAGAGCTGTCTCACACTGGTCTCCTGGTTCTGCTGCTGTTGGTTCTCTGCTGCTGCTGGTCTTTTGCCACTGCCACTCCTCTATCCATTCAGAGTTTCAAAACCACTTCCACATTTTAGGTATCTATTACAGCAGCACCCCACTCTCTGTACCAAATGCCTTAGGCTGGGTTCTCTAGAGAAGCAAAACCAGTAAAGCATATAAATATATAGACAGAGAGATTTATATCAAGGAAATAGCTCACACAAGTGTAGAGGCTAAAACGTCCCAAGTCCACAGATCAGGGTAGAGGCCTCTCCCGGTTCACGTAGCCACAGAAGCTGGTGAACCCAAGGTCGGCAGGTCGGAGAGGGGCTCCTGCTCCCAGGCTGTGAAGGTCAGTGAATTCCAAGATCAGCAGACAAGACAATCAATTTCCTCCTGATTCACGTAGATGCAGGGGCTGGCGAACCCAAGGCTGGCAGGTTGGGGAACCAGACTCTTGCTTGCAGGCTGAGAAGTTCGACGAATTCTGAGATCAACAGGTGAGCTGCTAGCTCAAGTCCCATGAACCAGAGGTGAGACAACAAGAGGCAGCTGCTGAGTCTGGAACAAGCCAAAAACCTTGGCAAGGCGAGCAGGCAGAAAGTAACCGGTGGAAGGCAGAGAGATGAAACTGAGGGGGCAGTGAGCTGCCACAGGCCCCACCTTCGCCAGTACCACCGAGCAGATTCCATCATGGGGGTGATCACAACATTATACAACTACTAAAACACAGAGAATAATGGTTTAGCCAAGTAGACAGACAATCTTAACCACCACACTGTCTGTATTTGGGGGAAAGGTCTTTAAGGTACAATGAGCAAAGATGGCGTTCATTCAGCATCAAAATGGTAAGCGTCCCAGTGATTAGTGCTGTATGTTTCATCCCATCACATCAAATACCTTGGAACAAGACACCTGCTACTGGAATTCAGGGCTGGGGTTTTCTTCCTCTGACAGAGCTTCTCTTCCCTCAGTCCTGGTGATCATGGTGTCCTGGAGGACCAGGGAGGCTGTGGAAGGCCGGTGTACTATAATGTCCATGCGGAATTCTTTGATGACAAAGTAGTAGCAGAAAACATCCAGGCAGCAGTTAATGTTGGAGAAACACAGGGACAATTGCAAGAACAAGCTGATGTTCTGTTTAGCCCTGCACTCCAGGATAAAGCCATTCCTCACCAGGAACTGCAGGAAGAAACCCAGGTGCACCGGTAGAAAGGAGACCACAAAGACAGCCAGACTGGCTGCGATCGTCCAAATGCTAGCCTTCTGCTGGACCCAGTCCTGGGTGTGGGCCCGACGGCCAATGAGGATGTGAATGCTCTTGGAGGAACAGAAACCAATGATGCCCAAGGGAAGAAGGAACCCGAACACCTCCAAGGGGAAGAAGGTCTCTGCCCTCCAGGTACCATCGGACATGTTGTGGAAGCACTTGTACTCTTCCGTTTCCCCATGGAAGCTGTAGACAGGGATACTCCCAGCCCACACCAGGACCCAGATGCTGCAGCAGATTATGAAGATCTTCCCGGGTGAGCGGAGGTGGCTGACCAGGAGTGGGTAGCGGATGGCCAAGAAGCGGTCCAGACTGATGAAGCAGATGGTGAAGATGCTCCCGTACATGCTGATGAAGTAGAGGCACTCCACCATGGTGCAGAAGGAAAGAAAATGTACCTGCGTGCGGGAGAGCACCATCCTGAATGGGAGGGAGAGCACCAGCAGCAGGTCGAAGACCGCCAGGTTGATCATATAGATGCAGGTGGCAGCATAATCTGGCCACCTCTTCTTCAGGATGGTGCTGAAGCCTCTGATGGCCAGCAGGTTGAGCACTAAGCCCAGGATGAAGGTGGGGATGTGGACTGCCAGCTGTAGGACTTTCATCAGCTCATCCACGTCATTGAAGGAGCAGTTTAGTGGGCTCATGTTCTTTCCTGCAGCGCCAACAACAGATTGGATGAGGTTCCTTTCACTCTCCTGAAATGATGGGCTCAAACGTCTTTGTCAAGAGGAATAAGCACTTCCCCTTTATCACACCACAATTTGTGTTCTGGAATAACAATTAGAGAACCCTGAAAAGAAAGAGAAAATGGACATGACCTCTGCTACCCAGATATAACCACTGTTACCTTTTTGTGTATACCATTACAGACTTTTGTACACAGACACACACACATATTTTTCTTTTGCAAAAATGGAACCATACTGTGCATGAATGTTTGTTCCCCCTACTCCCCACCCTTTTTTTTTCAATTAGAACTCCTTCTGTTGTAAGCAGTAACAACAACACAAAACTGGACCCAGACTGGTTTAAAGAGAGAATGTCACAACTGGAAACATGACAGCTAGGACAGGCTGACTTCAGGTGCAGCTAGGTCAGAGATTCCAAGGCTGTGACCAAGACCCAGCCCCTCTTTCTCTGCTCTCCTTCATCCAGAGAGTTGGACAGAGTTGACCCCACCACTGACTCTAGGTGATGGCAGTCAGCACATCACCCTCCCCTGGACACTGTGACTGGCTCAGGAATGGACATTTTGGCTCAACCAGGGGCAATGAAAAGCAATAAGACTCTTGCATGGGTTGCTAGGCAGGAAGCCATGCGCTCTTCTTATTTTTAAGACCCTATATGCAATGCAGGAAACTCTGGTGGCTTAGTGGTTAAGAGCTACGGCTGCTAACCAAAAGGTCAGCGGTTTGAATTCACCAGGCGCTCCTTGGAAACTCTATGGGACAGTTCTACTCTGTCCTATAGGGTGGCTATGAGTCAGAATCAACTCACTGACAACGGGTTTGGTTTTTTTGTTTATATGCAATGCAAGAAGCCCTGGTGGTACAGTGGTTATGCATTCGGCTGCTGACCAAAAGGTCAGTGCTTAGAACCAACCAGCCTCTCCACAGGAGAAAGATGTGGCAGTCTGCTTCCGTAAAGATTTACTACTTAAGAAACCCTGTAGTATAGTTCTACTCTGTCCTATAGGGTCGTTGTGAGTTGGAATCAACTTGATGGCAATGGGTTTACATGCAGTGCTATCTAATAGTATCCCAACCCTCTCTAACCTATAACAAAAAAGGGGAAAAAAGACAGCTCTATAGATG